TGAGTAAGAACTCATGAACATTGTCTTGTAATTGGAAAATTATAAATAATGTAAGTGCTTTTCACTTTAAAAATAGAGATATTTTCAGAAAGCATAAAGAGTGCATTTATACCAAGCGTTTCCTGAATAAATGAAACTGAACACAGAGTCATAGCCACCATATATAAGTTTCCTGCAGCTTCACGGCAACAGATAGCCTCCTCTTTCTCCCACTGAGCAGTTGGAGGGTTGGAACTGCCCACCTTGGGGACAGCAGTCCATCACTTACCCAACAGTACCCCCAGGGATCCTTTGAAGTATACAATACATAGCCAGGGGTCAGATGTTTATTTTATATCCTTAACAATAGAAATTAAAGCCAATTGATATATGTAGCTAGAGAACGAGGGAAGATTCTGGTGTAAGCTTTGTGTGACGTAGATACACCTACATAATAAGATATGGAGAGATGTGAGCCAACCCCTAGTGTTGTTGTTGTTGTTGTTAGGTGCTGTCAAGTCCATTCCAATCCATAGCAACCTTGTGCACAACAAAACATTGCCCGGTCCCTGACAATATGTGTTACACTTGAGCCCATTGTTTCCGTCATTGTGTCAACCCATCTTGTTGAGAGACTTCTCTTTCCCTGCCCCTCCAGGTGACCAAGCATGGTCTCTCCTAACAGCATGTCCAAAGTAGGTGAGGTATAATTACAGTTCTAGACGTAAACAACAAGAACAACAAAACTAACCCACTGGTTTCAGTCAATTCTGGTTCGGAAGGACTCTGAAGGATAGGGTTTTCAATGCTGCAATCTTCATGCAAGCAGATTTCCACACCTTTCTCCTGTGAAGCTTCTGGTGAGTCTGAACTGCCAACCTTATGGTTAGCAACTGAGTGCTAACTATTGATAAATAGGCACTCGTAGTTATTTAGGGAGCAAAGGATGGGGTATAGGACATCTTTACCAACTCATGCAAGTATGCCAGTTTGATATAATAATAGTATTGATCCCCTCATATGTGCTAAATAAACATTAAGACTAATGTTAACCAAAACTTATAGCTAGACATTATTGTCACCATTTTACAGAATGTTTTTAATGTTTAACTTTCCCAAGGTTCATCAAATCTGATTTTGCCACTACACTGATGCTTCTTAATGGCCACAGCACTAGATGGAGCCCCCTTTTATACAGTGTGGCTCCCTGAGACAGCCAGCCCAGAAGCGACAAATTGTGACTTTGTGTCAAAGTGGAGGGTATCCAGAATGCAGCATAACTTCAAAGGGTGTTTGGCATCGTAAACACTGAGCTCCATGTGATACGTCAACTGCTATTCTGCCCTTTGCTTCACAAAAATATCCCTATGTCCAATTGGACAGCAAACCTCCCTGGCTCGACAAATCAAGACTCTGAGCCCCGCCGCCATAGACAGAGTCAATTCTGACTCATCGTAAGTCTATAGGACAGAGTAGAATTGCTCCTGAGGGGTTCTGAGACTGTAAAG